CCAAGTGGCACTCAATGGGTGATGTGTTCAGCAATACGCCAACCGGCTTTATTTCCCAGGACTTGCACTTGGTACCCACTCAAGGCTGGGTTGACCTGGGAGCCAGTCATTTTTTTAATTAGCAGATGAGCATCTAACCACTGTACCATGCCAGCTTCCTTATAATCTATTAAGAAATTTTAAATGAAAATAGCAATTTATTTGAAACTTTAACACACACAAAACCACACACACACACTTCTAAAAGTCTTCAAACACGTCAGGTACTTAGATTTCTGTTAACATTATGATTAGCCACTGTGGTTTAAAGGCTAGACACTCTGCCTGTTGGCTCAAAGTTCCTTGGTTTAAATCTGCAGCAGGTGGGATTTTTTCAAAAATAACCTTGGCTCACAGGTTAAGCAAGCATAAAATGGGTACCAGGTAAAGCCCTGGGAAGTAAAGGTTTCCGACATGATGTTGAATACATAATCCTTCAAGGGCCGATTGGTCCATAAAGATAGTAGCATCATATGCCAATGCTGTGATGCTGACCACATCACTCTTCAAGGGCCGACTGGCCCATAAAGATATTAGTAGCATCATATGCCAATGCCCTACTGACGTAAAAAGGGCCCTCTGTGGTGAATATTAATATATACGCAGACACTGCTATATCATTTGACAATTTCATATGTATGGTTTAGTTGTATTTCCTCATTGCAGAAACAATATTTTATCTTACTGTTATAAGCATGCTAAATCAGTCATTCAATTACCAGTATTATTTTTACACATATTTATTGTTGTCCCACTGCAGACCTGTCACAGATCCCACACTTTTTTAAAATAGTCATAATGAAAAACACCTTATTATAATTGTGAACTCATTTACTTCGAGACAAGACCACAAGCACTGCTAGAATGGATGTGTTGACGTTGCTTTTGAAGGGTCTACCATTTGAGGGTTACATAAGCTAATCTTTAACATGGAGTTGTGCACTTATTTAATTTACCCTTTTAAAGATAAACTCTTGTGCTGTTTAAATAACTCTAGATCAAGTTCTATTCAACTGGAGGCCCGTGGGCCAAATCTGGCCCTGAGACGCCCAGCAAGTGGCCCTCAGAACACTGCCAGTTGTATTGTATTATTGATCTTTTTATGATGGCGCTGAGGCCTTTGGCCCCTGAGGATCCCTGTTTTTCATATTCTTGCCCCTGAGTAAACTTAATTAAATAGCTCTGCTCTAGACAATAGAGCATATGTGTGTTTGTGTTGATCAGTGGTTTTTAAGTAGACAACATTTATTCACATGAACACACACAAAATTGCATTTTAAAGTTATGTATGTGTGTATGTGTAAAAAAAATTACATAATGGCCCCGTAGATTTATTTCACAGAACCCATGGAACCACTAGCATAAATAATGAGAGTTTTTTTCGAAATGACTAGGAGGGTTAAAGTATTTAATAAATGTTACAATAAATATCAACTTGCATACACACTTTTTTGTTTTACAACAGTGTTTTCCAGATTTAAAAAATTTAAAGCCGTATTTCTCTGTCATAACTGTTTAACCGAGGATTGTTTATAATCCACTGGATACTTGCAGCTTTTGCCACATTTGCAGAAAATTACATATTTAAAAGAGTACAAATTAGGCGTGGGCAACCCCGGGGCCTTATTATAGGGAAAACAAGAATAGACCCACTGCCTACCCAAAAGCATGTTGTAAGAGTCAACTAATTGGGAACTTCCTTTAAGTCGGAGTGCATCTGCCTGAGAGGCAAGGAACCATCAGTCTGCATACACATGTGTAGGATCTGTAAAATGGATGCACACACAACACTCAGGTTCTGGAACAGGACTGCAGTCCAGAAGTGGATGAGCAACCAGAACTTTCCACTTCATTTAATTAGGATATATTTTAAGAGTATCTAAGATTTCCTTATTACGACTTTCTTAGATCTGAGAAACACAATTAACATATATAATAAATTCAGTTTTGCTAACACCTTTCTTACTAGAATATGTCATTATTACAGCTAACTTTCTATATTCTCACACCTGCACACAGAACATAGTTGCTAAGCAAACACAAAAACAAACAATTGTTCCACAGTTAGAGATTCACACAAGGGGGCACAACTACAAGCATAACAATACAAATAATAATGTTAAAGAAAGGAGGAAAGCTACAGAGTGGGGTGGGGGAGAAAGTAATATATCCTTACAAGTCCCCACATAATACAAAAACATGACACCTTGGAATATGCAATTAATATTACAGGCAGAAAAAGTGATGGACAACACAGCCACACTCATGAGTAATTTATTACCCCATACTGTGACAGATACAATGGCCATACAATGTAATATTGAATGCAGTCACAAAATGTAATACAAAATGGACCTTCATAATGTAATACCGAACGTAGCCACACAATGTAATTCATAATGTAGGCATGCAATGTAATAGAACGCAGCTACACAATGTAATATAGAATGCAGCAACACATAACACAGAAAACAGCCAAACATTGAATAATACACAATCATATAATGTAATTTATAATTCAGCCATACAATGTAATATGGAATGCAGTCACACAATGAATGATACATAAATAACCACACAGTGTAACAGATAAATGAGCCACATAATTAAGACAGAATGTAGCTACACAACATAACTAAAAACCATCTTTACACAATACAGAATATAGCCACACAGCAAAGTAAATAATACAGAGTGAGCATCAAAGAATGCAGCAATCAACATAGTCACAGAATACAATGTGGAAGGCAGCCACACCATGTAACATACAATACAGCCACACAATATGCTTGGAAGGCAGCCACACCATGCAACATACAACACAGCCACACAAAACAATATGGAAGGTAGCCACAATATATAATTTACAACACAGCCACACAAAACAATATGGAAGGCAGCCACACAATACACAAAGAAACCTCACCATAACACAAAACACTGCAACACATTGTCATAAAGAACACATATCTAAAACAGATAAAACAGTCACAGTATGTGATTTAACACCTACACAAAGTGATTACACAGCCATAAATATAACAGATCAGGCATCCCACACAAGATAGAAACAATACAGCCTCACACTGTAATACATTGAATATGAGCTTTCAAAGAAATATGAGAAACATCTCAGCATGAATGTGATGCATTATATACAAAATGTGACAATTTCTTCTTAAATTCAGCTGGTCTCTCTCTCTCTCTCTCTCTCTCTCTCTCTCTCTCTCTCTCTCTCTCTCTCTCTCTCTCTCTCTCACACACACACACACACACAAGATTCTCTAATTCAGATTTGATGTGTGATAGACCATCACGCTACAGCTAAGATGTGATAATGTCAAGTTAATTTAGCTGATGGTTGTAAATGGAGAAATCAAGTTAGGTGAATAACTAAGAGGACACTCAGGAATAAGAAAGAAGGAGAATATAGCTGCTAATTTAAATAGCCAGTTATGGATTATTATCAACATTTGCACTCTAGCTATATCCACAAATGCTTCAGTCTCCATCAAATAAATCGTCAGTCTAGAGAGATTAACTAATATATGTGTCAGGTACTACCAATATCTAGAGAAATTAACTAATATATGTGTCAGGTACTACCAATAACACATCACTGCAGTTAATAAGCATATAAAAAAAACTATAAATATTTTGAACACCATACAAACATTGCTATTAATATCACAGATGCAGCTTCATAAAACCCAATGGTTCCTAATAGGGGGTGCCTGAACAGAAGATAACTGCTATTAAAAATATCAAAGACAATCCAGAAATTACAGACACCAACAAATCCATTCATATACACATCAATGCCACTCATGATATTGTTTTCATGATGAAACAAAAACAAACAAGTAATTTGATTACTGAGCTATCACAGGTATCAATCAGTTGCTTGTCTCTAGAACTATACAGTGCTGACATGAACCAAAGGGGAAGGACAGATCTTAGAGTGTCTTAAGATGTTGCATTAACGAAGGATGAAATTGTCAGGTTTACAGAAAATAGGTTTAAAGAGGAGACAATTCTTAGAAATATGGGAGGAAATTCAAACCAAATGAGAATCAGAAATAGACAGCTTCATAATAATGAAAGGATCAATATACATTATGGATGGAAATAAGGTAATGACACAATTACAAACAAGAATCAATCAAAGCACATAGCTTTACACTAAGACCTGTTAACAAATCCCCATCCTTGCTTGAATCTCTTAGACCATAGATAAACCCCCCCCCCCCCCCCCCCCCCCCCCCCCCAAAAAAAAACAATTAAAAACAAAACTATAAAGCAAGACTAACATTTGGTTTCAACATAAAACACAAAAGTTTACTATAGGAAATAATAAAGGGCAAAATTGAGGATGAAAAAACAAACTATACAGGCATGCAAAAACATTAAGGTTTTCAATTATGTAGAACTGAAGAGACCGCTGGCGATAGAGAACAGTGGAGTTATGATCTGATGATTTTAGACTAAAATGATGTGATTATATCATACAGTCATTAATTATGTGACACAGAAGTACACTTTTATCACTGCAACATACTGTGTGTGTGATGTGATTATATGTTCACTGCTGACAGTGTCAGCCGGGTTACATGTTAGGGTACTGTTGGAGCAGTATATATAATATCAACAAAAGAGATGAACCTTAACACTTATAATCCAGTTTTACACACACAATCTGGCTTTTCTCTCCTTCACAAATACAACCTGGTTTCTCTTTCCTTCACACATATAACCTGGCTTCTCTTTCTCCTTCACACTCATAACCTGGATTCAGCCTCCCTCCAGGTTGCTGCTGGTCTAGTCTTACAAGTGATCTTTCTGTATATGCAGTAACTCATCACCCAGTGAAGCCAGAAGCTCCTCCTATCTCAGCTGAGTTTACAGCCACCTTGGCTAAGCAGACTACTGTCTCAGCTGGGTGAGGTGGTGGTGGTGATATCTCATGTGTCCATCTGCATGCTCTCTCTGGGGTAGGTCATCTTTACCCTGTGTCAAAGTATCACAAACAGAAGTTACAGAACCAATAAAATTATGAATGATATTCAGCTAGCCTGAATCTAATTCTACCACCTCTAAAAATGAATTTTGGCAAAAGTTAACTCCGGTTGTTTTGTGGGTGTAATTTGTCTTTTATATCAAGTATTTTACTTTGGCCAAACAGTTAAGAATGCTGGGCTCTCATGCTGGAAACCTAGGTTGGCTACGAGGTTTTTTCCAGTCAGGGGCAAAAACAAAATCCTAACTGGCACAGTCCCTTGTGACTATACCCGCCTTGTGGCCCTAAATCCTTAAACTAACCCCATCTACACGGCAAAAATGATAAACAGGGGTAGTAATGACAGATTTTTTTTTAAATAGACTTTCCTTATACATATGTAGAAATTATGCCAAGACAAAGTTAGGAATGTCCTCGGTAAAGGAAGTAAAAGAAGAATAAATGAGGTCTCCATTGCTAACTGGTTGATCCATTTGCCTCATGCTGAAGGTTATAGGTCTGTTTCCACTTTGTATTATTCTGTTAACACGTAAAATTTTTACTGAGATAAGTAGAGATTACCACTGGAGGTACTGAGGTTGTGCTGGTTTGACATTTCTGACAGGCAGCTTGCCGTTCCATAGAGAGAAACTAGTCATAATGGAAATCTCAGTGCAATGATACCGATCACCTTGTCTTTAAACATCCAGAAGTGCGTTCTCTTCTTCTTCGTATCGACCAGCGGTAAACTCCAGCAAAAAGTTCAGGTTGGTTTTTGTCCACCAGTGGACATTAAGTCTTGTTTCAGAAACTGAGTGTTGTGTGCACATACATTTTACAGATCTGACATCTGTATGCAGATTGTTGGTTCCTTGCCTCTCAGGCTGATGCATTCTGACTTTAAAGGAAGCCCCCAATTAGTTTACTCCTACAACATGCTTGTTGGGGTGGCAGTGGGTCGTCTATTCTTGTTTTCCCCAAAATGAGGGACCAGAACCCACAAAAGGAAAGAAATGCATTCAACACAGAAAATAATCACATTTTAATCAGCACCTTGAGTCAGCCACTTCATATTCTAAACATGTTGTGCCATGGATCAGGCGATTAATTAACAATAATAGCAACACTTTTTACCTGTTTAGGTTCCCTCATTCACTTTAATACAATCAGCCCCTTTACAAATAGGAAAAGCTTGATGGTTATAAAAACAAACACACTAACAGAACATTAAAACAGATAACAAGTAAAAACACTTATTCTAGGCAACAAAACTGTAAGCAGACTATGGGAGAGAAGCAAGACATGTTAACTGTTTCTAGTTTTTAAATGTATGCCAGTAGATACTTATTTAGGTATGTACGCATACATGTGACTATAAAGGTTATGAATTTGCAATATGAAGCTCCTATTTTGTTCACTGCTATGTGAACTTAACATGTATTACACACAGAACACAACCGCTGTGTGAAATATGAGTGGCTGGAAGAGCTGATGTAAGATAGGCCTACAGGCCCAATTTGTGATTCTGTGAAGAAAAAAGTTTTTTAATTTTTGACATCTTGAGGAAAAAATTTGATAGTTTATGAAGAAACATTAAGCAAGAATAGCTGACTCATCAAACTCTTCCCTAAGTCATAACAAGCACCAAGGGGTTATTGATGAAACATTGCGAAACAAGACTGTAAATTCTTAAAATGGTAACAATCATCCATAGACTGACCTGATTGGACGTCCTGCCATTAGCTGGATCCCTCTTCCCGGCATCACAGGGCCACCAAGGTACCTTTGCCGAACCAACTGCTGCATCATGGTCCCCTGGCTGACACCCCTCAACATGCCATGTTGGATCAGGGTTGTTGGGGCCATTTGACCTCCTGGCATGAGACCTGCACCTCTCATGGCCTGCGCATGTAGCATTTGGTTACCCATAATACCGGCCTGGACTAACCTGTTAAAAAAAATTATTGTTACATCAAGTGTTTGTGCATTGTGGTTCAGATTTGTGCCTGACTATGAATCTGTATAGATAGGAGAGAAAGGGAAAAAGGGTTGGGGGGGGGGGGGGGGGTGTGGATGGGAAAGCAGGGAAGGAGAGAGACAGGTGTAACAATGTTGCAGATGTAACAATATCACTTATCAAAACAAAACAAAAAAAGACAGATGTACAGATCAAACTGCCTTGTGGGGAAATTTTTACAAAATAAGAAAATGATGTATTTAGTGAGTTATTGAAGCCCCATACAGGGAATTAATTAACAGCAACACCGTACACCCTACATCACCATAAATTTCATCAGAAACAACTAGAAGGAATGGTGTGAGTTTTGCCACTGCACTGCACAGAAAAATTTAGCCGTAATATCAAATTAATCATAAACTTGAGAGCAGCTGGCCGAATGGTTAAAACACTGGGCTTTCAAGTGGGAGAACCAGGTTCGAATCACCAGCAAGGCTGGTGAATTTTTCTGTCAAGGGGAAAATCAAATCCTCACCTGCACAGTCGTGGTGACAGCACTAGCCAAGCGGCCTTAAATCTTAACTTTTTTCTTCTTCTTAGTGATCATCTGAAGTAAACTCAGCAGAACTTGAATTTTACAGATCTGGCTTATTTTATGCTGACTACTGCTTCTTTGCCTCACAGATGCACTCTGACTTTAAATGGAAACTTGCTAATTAGTCACTTCACACGACATCCTTGTTAGGGCGGCAGTGGGTCTATTCCATATTTTTTTTTCTAAATCCCAAAATAGAGCCCTGGAACCCACACAGGAAAATCATAAACTAATCTACAGAGAATTTAGCATTATTTGGATTCCTTCCAAAAGACTGCAATGGTTGGCACGTAAAGAGAGAATGGTGTATAAGAGACAGACAACAAAAAACACTACACATACAAAAGACTTGAACGGTAGTAGACCACGAGACAGACCAAAAAAACATAAGCCGCCAGCTGGAAAGATGAAAAGAGGCAGGTGATATCTGCAGGCAAAGAACCTCAAGGGCTGAGAATGCTGAAGAAGAAGGAGCAGCAGCAGCAGAGGAACAGAGAACCTACCTGATCGACCTCTGCTGCATCATGCTAGCTTGTTGTGTGGCCATGTTACGTTGCCTCATGGCATTGGCATGGAACAAGGCTGCCGGAGACATACCTGGTGCGGCCATCTGCTGCTGTACCATTGTCTGCTGGGTCATACCATCCAGCCCTGTGGTCATGGTCCGCTGCTGGACCACCATTGTCTGACCTCCATTGGTCAGTGTCCGCTGCAAGAGGGATGTTGACTGGACACCATTGGCCATTGCCTGTTGTTGCATGACAGTGGCTTGTGACATGGCTCCGGCAAGTCCAGTGCTCATACTCTGGTGCTGCATGATGGTTGCCCCACCTGGGTGCTGAGCAATGTGCACAGAGGAGCTGGTCATCATGGTCGGCCTGGCCAATCCTGAATATGGTGGCCGCATAGAAATATTACATTTAATAATTCATTTAATGCAAAATAAAAGTGAACAAGACTAATTCGAAGCAAGTCAATATGTTCCTACTTTTCTTTATTATTTACAAGCTGTATACTCTGGTGAAAGATTATGGTTGTTCATTTACTTTTGCACTTGTGTCTTATTCCAGAAGCTGAGTTTTGAGTGCACATCAATTTTTACAGATCTGGCTTATCTGTATGCAGACTGATGATTCCTCGCCTATCAGGAAGATGCACCCCAACTTCTAAGAAAACATCCCTAATTAGTCAACTGTTATGACATGCTTGTAAGGGAACAGCGGGTGCATTTAGTTTTTCCCACAAAGGGGTCATGGAACAAACATGAGAAAGTCAATGTGTTTGAATATTTGGGTACCTTGATGACAACAGATGAAAGAAGATTTAATGAAGTTCAAGGCAGTAAAGCCCAAGCAAAAGCAGCACTTTACAGGAGCAAGCTATTATGTCAGCTGGGGTGAGAAAGAATGTTTAAATCATGTTGCCCCAAAAAGCCTCAAAAACAAAAACCCGGTTGGGTCCAATCTCCTGTAAATGTCACTTAATGGACTTTCTACAATGACATGTCTGCGAGACATCTAGTTAATGCTACTGATTGTGTTTGCACCTGTGCTGTGTTTAGGATAGAAATAGCATTAGAGGGTTTTTCTTGTGAACCAAACATACATGTTATGGTAATATGTTTGTTATTTTCCGTAGTACATGTTACATTTAATAAATATGTTACTTTCAGTAATACATGCTAATTTCGAGAATGGTTTTTTTAAAACAACAACACTGAGAGTCAAAAAGAGTTAAAGTGAGTTATGATAGTATGGGTTATTACAGAAGCTCCATGGATAGGAGGACCCTTTTCCACGCCCTCAGGAGTATTGGGTATACAGTGATAGACATACATTTTATAGACCATTCAGCTCCTAGTGGGTGACACGCCAGCCGTCTTTATTTCCCAGGACTTTGTCTAGCTACAAGACATGAGGAAGATGGTTAGATTTTTAAAAAAAAAAAAAACATATATAAGAAGTAACAATGAACTCGTGGTGAGTTGCTAGGTACTGAAAACGTTCAGATGTCAGGAATCAGTTTAGAGTTAATGAGCGCTAGAATTAGGTTTTAGGCTGGTCATGCTTCATTTATGGGTCGAAGGTACTTCATTGTGAAGAGATTCTTATTTGTGCTGTAGTGATTAATTACACCACTGCTGGCTTGCTAGGCCCGTAAAAACAATGGGGTAAAATACAATTTAAAAATCAGGGTGGGTGAAAAGAGGAAGGCCAAGATTTGACATCAAGAAAGATGTGGATAGAGGGTGTAGCTGAAACCTGCAAAAAAGAGATATATATATATATATATATATATATATATATATATATATATATATATATATATATATATATATATATATAAATATAATATATATATATATATATATATATATATATATATATATATATATATATATATATATATATATATATATATATATATATATATATATATATATATATATAAAACCATTACTCAAGCGACTTGAGAAGTGTAAGACAGAAAGCATGACACTTTCCTACAATCTGGTAAATGTTTGTCGGCAAAAGAAGAACTGTCAACATACCCCAACCCAATGTATTACCAAAATTAGATGTGGCTGCTGCTGAGCTGTGGCTAAACAGTAAATTGTCACAGAATCAAACAACAAAACTTGTGAGGAAAGATATACACAAACACAAAAAACATTTTGACTAAAGTTTTTTTTAACCTTGTCATCTAAAAATCTAGTCATATAAAAGCTGATATATTGACCTGTCAGCCATGCTTGTTTTTAACTAAAAAAAAGTAGTTAAAATTCCACGGGTTATATGTCAGCCTGTGCAGTGTTTAATATGGCCAGCATATGAATATAGCAACTAAAAGAAGCCAAGTTGATGTCAAATCTTCCTGTAAGCCTCAGTGATAGAGGTCACTGCATGAGTCACCTGACACATATTGTTCTTTTAGGCCCCAGGGAATGTATTTTTTTAATGATTCCTTCTGATCATGTTTATTGATTACCCCTTTTGTATAACTTTAAATATTAAAACTATAACGTGGATAAATAAAATTTAAAAAAAACATATCAGTGAACTCTAAAATTGATGTTTGTCCTGAAAATTTTTCCAATAAATTCTCTCAGGTTCTTGACTCCTTTTTTTTTTTTTAAGCACAGACAGGGCAAAAGGGTTAAAATTAAACCTGCTTTGGCCATTAGGAAATGCTATGGATGTAATCATCATTTTGTGATTGGTCAATCATTGTCTAACACACTGCGCCCCCCCCCCCCCCCCCCCCCACATGTAAGATACAACCGACTCACCTTGGACCATGGCGGCGCCAGCATACATAGACGGATTCATTCCAGGGTGGTAAGGAAGCTGGCAGCCAGCAGGCACAAAAGGAACAGATGCTGCCTGCCTGGCCGCAATAAACGCTTGTTCTCCTTGAGCAAACATTCTCTCCTGGTCATTCGCTAACCCTAAGGGCTGGTGAGCAGCTAGTGATGGCGAGGAGCAAGATATGCTGGTGGTGGCTTCTTCGGTGGATGAGGTAGCTGCATCAGTAGCTGTGTCTTGGACAGGCACAAGTGCAGTGGAACTAGTGTCATCACTGACTGCTTGAGAGCTGCACAGTACAGCCATGTTGCTGACACCATCAGCATGATTTCCCTCACTGTCAGTGGTATCATACTGAGCCTACCAAAGGCATGTCCATCAGTGCCACAGCAGCAGCACTTGCCTCGTACTGTGGCCCTATACCGTCTTCATAACTCTGGTAGACACTGGAATTGACAGTCACACCTGCAACATCATCTTCATCTAATACTCCTGTGTCCATTTCCTCAGTACTGCTAGAAATATGTTGTCTGTATGAGGACTCTTCGCTATCATTTTCTACGCTATAGTCACCCTTCATGCTAAAATCTAAACCTGGGTGGGCATACACAGAAGCAGGTACTAAGTCTAGACTTTGCTCATTATGACATGCAGTTGAATTTTCATATTTATCGCCGACTGATGGGGGTTGTTCACAGCTGCTAGCTTCATCAAGTGCTTCTTTGTATGAAAGACAGATATTTTGATTATGGGAACCATTTTCTTCGACTGATGCTTCAGGTGAATAATGTGATTCTCCTGCAACATCAGTGCCTGCCACTGGTAGGCCATTGCTCAGGCTATGGGAACCAGTAAAAGAAGCAGAATGCTGGACCTGATTTCTCCCAGAGTCAATGAGTGATTGTGAATACTGGCTCGGTGAACCTGGCTGAGGACTACTGGACGAGTGGTGAAGGCTGGTAGTACTTTGTGGATAAAGTGGGCACTGGTCGATTCTGTTGTTCACTAGGTCATTCTGTTTTATATTACTCTCTTGATTGTCAACTGCTGAAACAGCCTTAGAATCTAAGTGACGCAACTCACAATTCACATCAGTGTCTGGTGTATTGGTAAGGCAGTTATTTGACAAATTCACAACCATTTGATTTTTTAAGCTATCTTCTGAATCTTTCATAAATTCAAGGACACCTGGCAACACATTTGTTCCATGAGAAGGATCAGAATCAACCTTCGAACATGGCCCCACTAAAGATCCACCAGGCCTTACCTCTTCAAATTCTGTACAGGTAACTTCAGATGCACTGAGGTTGTTATCTTCACACTCCTGAGAATGTGACATGGTGTGGGTATCAGTTTCTGTTGAAGAACGGGCATCTGAATAAGTAACCAACTTTGAAGCCAGCTCATCATTTGAAAGTTCTGAAGCTCCTTCAGACTGGTTTTGTTCAGACACGCTGCAAGTATGTGGAGAGAATTTGCCTTTTGAAGATGTGGCTGATAAGTTTTCAATATCTCTAGCCTCATTAACAGATCCGGAGCTAGGATTAGCATCCAAAAAATCAACATGCATGCTATTATCCATGTGACTGCTTTCAGCATCAGAGCGTCCAGGACATCTCCATGTCTGGAAATCATGGTCTTCCTGCAGGCAATGCTCACCCTGGATGTCAGGACTTCGAAACGTGGCCAAGCAAGCTTCATGCTTGCCTAGATCATCAGATGGCAGGTCACTGACATTGGTTTCCTGAGAATCTTCAGACTTGGATACACTGGTGTCTTCTGTGTGGTCTTCATCCTGAGGAAACAGGAACAAACAAACAAAATACATCAGAAATAATACTATGATCTGCCTGTCTCTACTGCCTATAGTACAACCTTTTAGAGCAAAAGGGTTTGAGACTGAGGATGCAAAGGAATTTATCACTCACACTGTGTACTAAGAGTAATGTCAAATTATGGGTATGGGAATTATCAGTCACCCTGTACACTAGGGTAACATCAAATGATGGGTGTGGGAATTATCAATCACACTGTGTACGATGGGTGTGGGAATTATCAATCATACTGTGTACGATGGGTATAGGAATTATCAATCTCACTGTGTAGTAGGGTAGCGTCAAATGATAAGTAAGGGAATTTACAATCACATTGTGTACTAAGGTAATGTCAATGATAGGTAGGATGATCCATCGCAAAGTGTACAAGGGTTATGAAGCCAGTGATGTAGTGGTAAATGCCTGCCAAGATAGTTGTCTTGATCCAATTCTAAGCAGAGCTTGATATTTTCTGACCCATCTACTGTTTAGGGGTAGACCCAGCATTAAAGAAACAGTAACAGACTAGCCTGGTGTCGGTTCTGGGACCTCATCAGGGAGCGGGAGGAGGGGATGGGGAGAGACCCTCTGATCCTCTAAAAAGCATAATGTAAAAGGCAACCAATTAGAAGTCTGCTGAAATTGGATGTGTCGGGCTGAAAAGTGTAGATACTACAGCTTAGCTGTAAACCACAACACACTGTGCCAGCCACAATTTCAAGGGTAAACACAGAAGTAACAGACAATTTTGCAGAATATTCTGGGAAGGAAAGATGATGGGGGAAGGAAATTGCAAACCACTTCATATTTCATGGCCTGAAGCCAGTAGAGGTAGCTTGGAGTGGCTACTTCATGGGAATGCCCAATTTGCAGTGACATTGATTGTGATAACAAAACATGTCATGACCTACAATATGTGATGACCCAAAACTTCACACCCAGTGAATTTCTCTTCTATTAGAAGAGACATAAATGTGTCGGCTGTAGGGTGTGTCTGAATCTTAAGGGGTTAGTTAATTACGGACTGATTTGCTAGTAGACTGAACTACTCTGTCACAAAATTACGTTTGTCTAAAAAGTGTGTCACCAACATCAACTGACGAAGAATATAACTCGCTTCCACTGATAGACATCAATCAATCAGCTGACCACCTAAACCAAGTGAGAACCTACTTAGAAGATAGGAAAATGTATTGTCTTCCAGCCAAACTGGCTGACAGCCTGCTGACCAATGATGCTCTTAAAAGTATTTGTTTCCAGCAAGGTTTTGCTGGTGCAAATTCTCCACTCCAAAAGTTCAATTTCCCAGCTACTGAGCTCAGTGCCAGCAGGGATCAACAGTGACCTGCAATTCTGTTGTGGGAGCGTTAGTGTTGGCATGTCTGATAGTTACCGTACATGTTTTTACTTTGTGTACTTTTTTTTCAAAATGTTGCTGAGACTGATAAGTTTATTCACTAGTTTTTAAATTGGAGAGTGAATGTCATTTGTGTGATTTCCACTGGCACAGGAAAGGAGCATTTATGAGGCAACTTGTCTGCAGTGATGTTGGAACCACGACTGACTGACTGACTGAGTAACTAGTGAAATTATATACAAACATTCACAACATCAACACAGCCAAAATAAGAATAATAGTTCCAGTTGTCTGTGTGCTACTGTTGGCTAAAGAGAAAGTAGAAAAAATCAGGGGAAGTCAATAAGTTATGGCAAGAAAATGCAGGTGGTGTTGTCTAAAAGTGTTATTTGGTGATAGCAACAGAAACAAAATCGTGACTGTACTTACAGAGTGTACCCTCAAAGAACAACATGCTGTTGTGCGTTTTTTGTTTGTTGGGGGGGGGGGGCAAAAGACTGCCTGCAAAGGACATTTATAAGGAAACGCTTTCTGTCGATATGCAGAAGAAGGAGAAGAGATGCTGAACAGGATTATTCTGGAGACGAATCATGGCTGCTCTAATCAGCCTGAATCAAAAGGTGCTTCGATGCAATGGAAACTTCTTTTTTTGCTTGTGTTAAAAAATGCAAGGTTACGCCATCAGCAGGGAAGGTTAGGCTGACAGTGTTTTGGGACTGTTTAGTACTTTTTAAAAAAAAGAGGTGACAATGTGAATGCTGATTCATACTGTAAAGTTCTATAGATGCTTCATGGTGCAGTTCGAAGGAAACGTCCATGCCTGCTGACTAGAGGAAAACTGCTCTTTCATGACAATGCCCTACTACATATGGCTCGGTTAACACAGAAAACAAAATTTACTTTAGGATGGGAACTTCAGGAACATCCACCTTACAGCCCTGACTTATCCCTTAGCGATTTTCACCTTTCTGGTCCACTGAAAACCCACCTTGGCGGGAGACATTTCCCGAATGACGCAGAAGTTGAATGTGAAGTGAAATGTGGTTTAGAAAACACAGCATGCAGGTTTGGGAGGACTGATAAAATGATGGAACAAGTGCATCAAGGTTGGTGGAAACTATACAGTGTATGTGTAAAAAAAACGGTTTTCAAGTTGTTTATTGTTTTTGCTTTTTAAACAATCATTTGTGACTTACTTATTGACTTTCGTTCTTAGTATCAACAAACCTACAATCTCATGGCTTAGAGGTCAGCAAGTGTGTTTAATAACTTCATTATGGAGCACTCTGGTGTATTTTTTGTGGTGGCCGGTTAATGTGGAAAAAAAAAAGACAAAAACACACGCTCTCAAAGTTTTCCAAAAGTTGTGCAAGAACTGCACCATGGAAGAGACTGGGGCCTCTGTAGTATTTTTGAAATCATAGTGGAGACAGCACACCATAAAAAAAAATCTATCAGATGTTGTAATAGGTATCTAAACAGAGTCGGTATGAGACTGGCTACCTCAAATCACAGAAGAACACAGCTGCAAAATCCAACCAGTCATCATCCCTGTAAGATATTCTCTTTTATGGTAGCTGGAGTGGGAAATCGAGTATGGAAATGGCGACAAAGAATACAATTAAGGATGGTTCCAATGTGTAACTAACTAGCTCAGCAACAAGGGGTTATCACATACCACACAATTCCACTTTTGATGGAAGAGATTAAATATTTCCTGGGGTGTCCTGGGTGCTGTAAGGTTGGTTCTTTAATATTTTTAAAAAAAAAACCTACTGGTCTAACTGAAGACAAACGAGTGACTTTTCCATCCAACACTTTAAAAAAAAATTTAATTAAAATAGCTTCAGTAGCCCTGTCTCCAGCCTTCATGTGCCCACTGGTGCTGTCTTTTGGCTGTAATGTTTACTGCTGTCACAAGTGAGGACAGACATAGTAAACAAATGTCTATGTCTGGTCCATAGCCACACGGTGTGGTTGTACAGAGAAGCTGACTGTATATTTCTTCTCTCTAAATGAACTGAAATGCTCAAGGTGTAAATTCAACAGGTAAATTCGCAGTAGGAATTCTGTTAATAAGTGATTGGCTGAATTCAAAGTTTGTTTCAACCATACTTCAAAGTATCACTAGTGCT